TCCCTGTATCCTTTGATAACACATTTGAATTTAATATATTATCCATTTTATAGTATTTTTATTCAATCCTAAATTTCTATTAGGACATTTAATATTTTTGTTCATGATGGATATTGGTCTACTGTTTTTTTAGTATTGCTAATGTCATTTTTGGTTTTGGTAATAGGGTAATGTTAGCCTCATAGAATGAAAAGGCAAACATTCCTCACCCATTTCATTTTTATGGATAAGTGTATGTAGAATTATAATTGTTTCTTTCTTAAATATTTAATAGAATTCACTAGGGAAGTTTCTGTCTTGAACATAGCTTTTGAAGCAAGGTCTTTTTTCCCCCAAAACTGCACATTCAATATAATACATATGCATGTTATCTTTTCTTTCTTGACTGAGCTTTATTAGGCTATGGTGGTCAAAAATTTGAAAATTCATTTAAGTTGATGAATTTATTGGCATAACATTGATCGTTAAATTTTCTTATTATCATTTAAATACCAATAAAACACTGTAGCAGTCAAACCATTTATCTCATTGTTGATATGTGTAGTTTTTGTTTTTGCCTTTTTTCCTGATCAATCAGTAGTTTTAAAGTTTTGCAACTTTATTCATCTAAGCTTTTTGTTTCATTAATTGTCCTAATGTTTTTATGTTATTTTTCACTTTGCCAATTCTTACTATGATCTCTTTTGCATGCTACTTTATTGTTTGGGTTTAATGTCTTGTTCTTTTTCTAATGCTTAATGTAGAAGTTGAAGTCATTGATATGAAACACTTTTTCTTTTCTAACACAGGTATTTAGTGTGAAAAAATTCTTCTAAAGTACCACTGCCAGTGGTAGCTGGCATTTTGTTATGATGCTGAAAGTTATGGCACCAATATTTCAAATGCCAGCAGGGTCGTCTAAGGTGGACAGGTTTTAGCAGAGATTCCAGACTAAAATGGATTAGGAAGAAAGGCCTGGTCATCTACTTCTGAAAATGATTCAATGAAATCTATGGATCACAACAGCACATTGTCTGAATCACTTGCTTTGGGAACTTCATCAGGAGGGATCAATCAATAGCTGCAAGAAGGACTTGAACATACTGTTGATCATGATGGTGATACAGAACTGGACAATATTTTATTCTATCAGAATCAATGCTACGGCAACTGCCAATCTATGCATGGTGCAGGACTCATAATCCCTGCTCAGATATTATTAGAAATCTAATTTTCTAGTGGGTCTGCAATCCTATAGCTTGCCTAGAGCTATATCAACAACTGGTTTTTTCCTGTTGTTGTTAATTACTGTCCAATTGGTTCTGACTCTTGGCAATCCTGTATAGTGTTTACAAGGAGCTGCTGGTGGAGTTTAATTACCAAATTGCAGTTCAAACCGACATTGCAGTCCAGTGCTTTATCCCACAGTGCTTGCTGAAAACATTCTGTTAAAAAAAAAAAAAAAAGAAAGAATAAAGCTTGTTGATGTAATATCTTGTGAAATATAGCTTATTTTCTGTGACACAAGAACCCAGATAATTAAAGTTACTTCAGACTCATTTGTAAATGACTTATTCTTTTATCATATTGTCATTTTATTTGACTCTGGATAAATAAGTTTACTGAATGTATGTTTATATTTTTCTTGTGCCTTTTCCCTCTAGAAACATGTTCAAAATCAGATATACACATTGATAATGGCTTTATTTCTGAATCTGAGTTTACATATCCTGTAAATAAAAGAACACAATATAAATGTAAACCAGGATATGTAACAGCAGATGGTAAAGCATCAGGATTCATTACGTGCTTGGAAAGTGGATGGTCAACTCAACCTGTATGCATTAGTAAGTAGTTTGCTAAGTTTAGTTTTTTGATGATAGTTTTAAAAATGATTACTCCAACTTGATTATGTGATTTTAGAGAGTGAGAAGGTAAGGGATAGGTCTGACATAGTTCCATTTTTAAGGATAAAATACTTTTTTAAGGATTAAATACTTTGGAAATTATACATGTAGAACCTAGAAATTACACATATACAGAATGTTGCTGTAATATAATAAACAGTATAAAAGTCATATGTACAATTTAGGAATATATAATATAGAAATCATACATAAAATATAGAAATATTAAATATAGTGTAAAAATCATATTGTTGTTGTTAAGTGCCATCGAGTCGGGTCGTAAAAATCATATAGAGTATAGAAATAATATATATTGATGTTGCTGTTGTTCAGTACTATCAAGTTGGTTCTGATGCACAGAGACCTTGTATAGGATTTCTAAGGATTGGCTGAATGTGAGCCATTGACCTTGTGGTTAGTAGTCCAGTGCTAATCCTATATACCAGAAGTCCATATAATATAGAAATAATAAATAAGATAAAAATTATATTAGAAGA